ACCCTCTCTAACTTCGATTTTCCTACTACTGCGATAAAAATAACAATCTTTATTTTTATTTAGGGTGTTAAGGTCACTAAGAAATATAATTTTAGTGACATGAAGTTAACAACTAACTTTCAACATTATTAGAATATAAGGCGACAACTAGGCATGATATATTTAAGTATCTTAATTGCATTATACAAAGGAAAGTAGAAATATATAAGAATATAACTTCTAGTGTAAAGGTAGGATGGTTAAGACGGAAATGTGCCTTAGGAGTTTTGTGTGACAAGAGGGAATTATGGAAGCTTAAAAGTAAATTTTATAAAATAGTAATCAGCCCAATGATGTTCTATGGATTCAAGTGTTAGGCTATAAAAAGAATTATTAAAATCTAAGTTGAGAGTAGCAAAATGAGAATGCTAAGATAGACATGTGGCAAAACTAAGAAGAATAAATAAATAATTAATTAATAGAGAAAAGATTATGCTGAAATCTATTGAAGATAAGGCCGACCTAAAAAAAGGCTTAGTTGATTTCAACATGTATATCTAAGAATAGAAAATATATGTATTATATGATTAGATAAAACTAGCATTTGAGATTTAGGAAGTAAAACAAGTACATTTAAGATTACATGGATAGAAGTCATTAGAAATATTTTATGAGTAACAGGTTTAAAACTTGAGAGAACTCAACCAACAACATCAAACCTTTATCCCACTACGTGGGGTTGGCTACATGAATCTTTTTTCTCCATTGTATTATGTTAAAAGTTAAAATTTCATTTAAATCTAGTAAAGAAAGTCATTTCTAATATTTTCTAACTAAGTCTTTTTAGGTCTACCTCTACCTTTTCTTAGCATTAAATCAAGTCTAATAAATCTACTCCTAACCGGACCATCGAAAGGCTGACGTTTTATGTTAACAAACCACCTAAGGAGACTCTCTCTAAGCTTATCTACCACTGGAGCTACTCCAACCTTTTCGCGTATATACTCGTTTCATATTATGTCTCTAAGAGTGAAGCCATTCATCCACCTGAGCATCCTTATCTTTGTAACACTTAACTTAATATTATGCTTGTCTTTTAATGGCCAAAATTTTGCGCTATAAAATATTGCACGTCTCACCACCATCTTATTAAATTTTTCCTTAAATTTGAGGGGTACTTTTCTATCAAACAACAGGCCAGATGCATTCATCCACTTCAACCATCCAACTTGAATTCTATTAATAACATCCACATCTATTTCACCATAACTTTGAACAATAAACCCAAGATACATAAAATGTATACTTTTATTAATGACTTAATCGCCCAAAGTCATAGTTCCCCCACTAGATCTATTACTACTAAAATTACACTCCATGTATTCGGATTTAGAACTACTCAAACGAAAACCTTTAGTTTTGAAGGTTGACTTCAATAGTTCAAGTTTATCTTCAACTGCCTCTCTATTCCTAGCAACCACAAAAGAAAAATGAGGATTCATAACATTGACCAAAATAGTTGAGAAAAGATTAATGAAAATGATGGTGATGATTATGGTTGTGCGTAAAAAACCTTAAACTATAAGTTTCCCTATATTAATTTAAGCTTAGATGAAAATTTTACTATCTATGCATGCTAACTGTTCTAAAAATTGCACATATGACAACACATGCCAAAGATAATTAAGGTTGTGAGTAAACCAATACACTATAAAAAGTTTGAATTCAACTCAATTAATACTCGTTTAAGTTGTTGATGATTGAACGAGTTTGAACACTTTTTAAAAAGTCCAAAGGTTAAGCAAAGCAAGTTGGAATGAGTAAAACAAATACTAGGAATATAAAATTAATTTTTAGTAACACGAAGGTAACAATCATCATTCAATATTATTAGAATATAAAGAGATACCTAGGTGCGATAGTTTGAAAATGAATGCATTATACAAGTAGATATAGATAATAGTATAACTTTTAGTGTTAAAGTTGGATAGATAAAATGGAGAGGTGCCCAAGGAGTTTTGTGTGATAAGAGGAATTCATGAAATCCTAAAGGTAAATTTTATAAATTCACAATTAGGCCAATGATGTGGAATAGATCCAAATGCTAGGCTAAAAACATTAATTAATATCTAAGTTAAGAGAAGAAAAATTATAAAGCTAGATGTATAACAAAACTACGAAGAATGAATTAAGTAATAATTTATAGAGAAAAGGTTAGGCTGACATATATTGGAGATAAGGTCACTAAAAAAACTTAGTTGATTTGAGCATATATATATAATGCATGATAGAAATATGTCTACTACACGATTAGAGAAAACTAATATAAGAGAATCAAGAAGTAAAAGAGGTAGATCTAAGATTACATAGATAGAAGTTGTTCAAAATATTTTATAAGGAATGAGTTTTACACGAGGTAGATCTAAAGGTTAACTGGATCGAAGTTGTTCAAAATATTTGGTGAAGAAAGAGTTTTACTCTTGAGACAGCACTCAACAAAAGCAAGTGAAAAATGGGGATTCATCATGTTAACATAAATAGTTGAGATAAGGTTAATGATGACAAGATCATGAATCTATTTTTGCAAGAAAACCCCTAAAATATAAGTTGTCTTGTACTGATTCAGGCTTAAATGAAAACTTTAATATCTATACATTTTCATTGTTCTAAAGATCGCACAAATAACAACACATGCAAAAGATAATTAGGGTTGTAAGTACACAAATGCACTAAATGAACAACTTGAACTCAACTCGATTAATATTCGTTCAAGTTGATAATTGAGCAATTTTGAACACTTATAAAAGCTTGAGGTTAAAAAAATCAAGCTTATCCAACTCATCTATTTACGTTCAAGAACAACTTATTTGTTTTTCAACAACTTAGCAAAAGTTTGATATAAGCTCGATAATAGCTAGCATGTTCAATTAAACTTTGTTTAAATATAACTTCTTAAATGCTTTTTTAATAGTGATATATTATGTCTTTGCTTATTAAGCTAGGATATTTTTGGCCTTTCTTTTTCATTTTTATAATATTCTGCACTTCAGCCATTTTATATCTCTACAGTTGCACTCATGTAAGCAGATAATTAGCATCATGTTAAGGAATGTTATGCCTAGTTTACATATCATAATAACATCACATCATAAATCTTATGATTGAATGGTGTTAGAAATGTTATGTATGTCAAAAATTTAGAAATCTTCATTGTTAAATATCCATAATAATGTATAATATTAAATGAAATTTTTATTCTAGAATTATTTGTTACCCTTAAAAATAATTTCCATAATATGCTTCATGATATAGTTCACTTTGAATGGACGCTTTATTCCTAAAAAATAATATCCATAATGGCATGCTTGATGATTTAATTTACTTTGAATGGACGTTGTCAATATTTACATACTCAGAAGCAATTCTGATTTGACAAATACTAGATCAAAAGGACATTTGTTAAGTGAGTCACTTTATAACTTTTAATGAATTTAAATGCTTCTTATTCATATAGATACTTATGATTATTTTGTAGATTTCCATTTTATTTCAAATTAATTAATATGTCATATTAATTTGATACTGTATTATCATTGTGAATTATCAATTATGAATGACAACTATGAACTTTCAATTTTTGCTCACTCCTTTGATTAGAATACTTATACTATTTCAAGCTCATTTGATCAGCTTATTTTTCACAATTTTAAAGAACAAGTTTGTCAGTGTTTGTTTATGTTGTATGATCACAACAAAGATGGTTCATTACTTATTTATTATCTTTTTCAATTAGTTAGATATTAATTACAAATTTATTGAAATGTTTGTTCATTTTAGACCTATTAAATTATTTATTAATATGAAATCATTTGAGAGTTCGTTTAATACTTATTCAGTTCTGAGCATGTTTATTAGCTTGTTTAAATACTCATTTGATTAATATAGGCAAGCCAAGTACAAGTTAAGCTCGCTCACAAAAATCCTAAACAAGCCAGGTATTAATATATATGTGAATATTTGATTTGAACTCTGAGTTAAACTTGAACAACTTATATTATAACAAATCCAACTACAATCCACAATGTAATCAGCTCAATGCAACTTCATAAGAGTTCTAAAGACGATGTAAAAAATGATTGTTCTTAATTTATGTCTATAATAACATAGATTAAAAAGGCGTACCATAATGCACCTAAAAATCGCCTCGAGGCTTACACCTTAATTGTTGAATGAGGCTTAAACCTTTTTTGATTGAGGCATATGCCTTGAGGATTTATGCTTCAATGCGATTGAGGTGAACACCTCACATAATAAGAATAAAAATTGTTATTACATGATATTATAATTAATATAGGTTATAATTAGTTTCAGTTTTAATTTTTTAGGTTAGGAGTTGAAGTCCAACTAGAGAGAGAGAGAGAGAGAGAGAGAGAGGGATTGCAATCAAGCTGTGTGAGCAACTTGCCAATGGGTGTGAGCATGGAGGCTTGAGAACGATGAGTGCTACAAGTGGAGATGAGTGCATGGAGCGCCGCAAGAGATTGTGAATGAAAGAAAAAGAGTCTACGAGTGGTTGAGCAATCGTGCACATTCACAAGTCAAGTGGATTAAATTTTTTTAACAAAAATTAAATAAAATTCTTTTAAATATTTTGTTTATTTTCATATAAATATTTTCTTTAACAAATTTTATTTGCATTTTTAATTTATTTTTTTAACTAATGATAAATCAAGTTAATTCATTGGTAGTTTATTGCATATTTATGAATTAATTTTAATTTTATGATTTCATTTTTTATTTTGAATTTACACCTCATCTCATTAAGGTAAAATGGCTCAGTTCCCTATTTCACTTTTTAAAACTTTATATGATTCACCTATGATCCTAATCTAAGGTTGTGTTTGGATGCTAAAAATCTGAATGAAAGGAACTTAAAAAAATATATAAAAAAAACTAAATTAATGTCGGCAGATTAATAATCAATCACTCAATTGTTGAAATTTCATTTTATTTCCTTCACTTTGCTTCAATCCAAACAAAGCCGAACCAAAAATATTGAAATTGTTCAAAAAAATAATAATGAAATGCTTACCTCCATCAAAACATCTAATGTTCCGGGTTATCGTACACCATCTGAGCTACTTCTAGAGGAACTTTCGCTATCCGAATCTGCGCATCATTTTTAGTGTAAGTTTCTTTAAGAAAACTATTAAAGCATGCAAAAGATTATCACAAGCATTTTAAAAAAATGGAATTATAGATAGCTAATACCACTGGATGATGATCCAGAATCACTGCTCGAACTACTCGAACTACTTGATCTGCTTTCATTCTTCCCAACCATTGTACCTCCAGCTGGTGATGAAGACGCAATGATTTTTTCAACAGTCACTGTTTTGGAGATGAAAGAAAAGCTTCAGATTGGTATACGGAGAAGAAAATGACGGGAAGAATTATATTACCTGTCTTACTTTCTCTGGGCATATCTGTGGGTGCAGAATTAGAAACCTGGATAAATAATAAAAAATAAGTATTTTCTAGCTGGATCAGCTCAACATAAAATATGAGATACACTTCATACCATTCTTTGCTCCCTGTTTTGGGCATGCAGCTCAGGCTTTGCCTTTGAAAGAATGGCAAGTTCTGCCTTTCTTTTAATCTTGCTCAGACTTTTCTTATAATTGGTTACAAACCTATCTAGTTCCCAAAGTGTCTCAGTATCCACACTGTCGATGTCCACCTCAATCTCATCCTCATGTTGGCTTACTGACAGGTTCCTTTTCTTAATTATTTGTACAACCATGTCCAGCTTTTCTGAAGGCAGATTTTGTAGGTTATTGCTCAATCTCTGCTTCTCCTCAAATGTCATTTCACGCTTGTTTGGATCCTTGGCCTTGGGCTTCTTTGATACCAGAGGTCGTCCGCTGTGTGTCAACTGCTTCAATGATTTTGTCTTCAAATCTACTGAAAAGGGACTAAGGGTGGAATCCGACCTTTCTATAGTCTTCTTCATGTCAAGAGGTGGCGGCCTCTTCATTGCTAGTGGAGAATTAAGATAAGCTAAGTCAGCCTCTATTATAGACCATCGCTCCTCGAATACCTGCAGAAGTTGCTGAGCCATGATGTGAACATCCTGCCCCTTTGGATTATAAGTCAGTGCATTGCAGAAGGTGAGTCTCACATCCTCTGCAAACTCCTTGGGAGCCTTGTACCAATTTCTGCTCAATCTGGATTTCACAGTGCCTAGATCCATGGGATGAGTGATAATTTTGTGGTAATCTGGGAGACCAAGAGCCTTGGCATCAACAGGAGTATTGAAAACCCAACCATGATTGTGCTTCATAAGCTTCGAGAGCAGCACACCACATTTCTTAAAGGCCTGCTCGTTGATTTTATTTTCCATCGACTGCATTACATTCTTGATCCCATTCACCCTTGCCTTCTTGATGGATTCTGGTGGTGGGAGCTTCTCCTTCCCAAGAAGAAAATCTGTATTCTTATAATACTGATTGACCTTTGGGGTTCGCTTCTCCTTCTCCAATATATCAACAATGCCATTATCTCCACCTACTGCAGCTGGAATTGAAACAGTCAATTGGCGGCGAATTGGAGTTGGGGCAGCTGCTGAAGCAGTCTCTGAAAGAGCTGGCGCCCTTTTGATGGGTAAAGAAGCTCCAACATCATTCCCAGAAAGCTGAGACATGTTTTGCCCTGGGGGGGAGGCGATTTTTGCAGTGTCGTTCATGGAAAGTTGCGTCTGCCGGGCTTCCAGTCTCCTTAAAAGAGAACGGACCAGCTCTAGCTCAGAAATAAGCTTCCCACGGAGTTCCCGAACCTCATGCTTTGACTTCAAAGCTAAGTTGATGGCTATTACCCTGTTCTGGTCATTGGGGAGGCGGAGATTGGCGGGCTTGGGGTGGATGCTGGAGGCCACGTAGTCAGAGGCAGTAGATAACTGTTGGGGCACTGCTGGCTGAGGGTTCTCCAGAGACTGCTGCGGTGGTTTCTGCTGCTGGAGAGGGGAATTGATGCCATCGGTGGTCGTGGTTAGGGCTTGCTGCGAAGAAGGGGGCTGGATTTGAGTGAGAGGCAAGGGGTTTTGATTCGGGTTGGGCTTGAGGGTTTTGTTGTGGGCTTTTCGGGTGTAAACCTTGTTCTCCACCCAACGCCGCTTCTCACGAGAGCCATCGACGTCGCCTTCTGACAGAGGGCCAGATGCCATACATCAAAGTACGCTATCTCCTTCCCCTTCAAACTCTAGACTAGATCTTCGCAACCAGAAATCAAATTTTGTTATGATTTCTGGGATTCCTAAATCTAAAGAGAAATCGAAAGATATGAGGATCTCCGTTGCGATAAAGGTATTCGAATCCAGAAATGAAAGGAAAAGTATGAGATCGGACGAAAAGAAGAGAGAACGGGCTAGGGTTTCACTGGACCGATGAAAACCAAACCTCAACGCTCTCTTTCTTCAAGATGGGTGCGAATCCGGCGTCTGTGAGTGAGTTAGGCAGCACCATATGTCCTCCATTAACAAAGTACATGGAACTTGTCACAAATTCGCGCCTGTAAAGTTAAACGCGTGGAATATTCTGAACGCTGGATTTCTTCGTTGGAGAACGGTGACGATCTTGTTGTGAACCGAAAGATGATGACAATAAAGGCGAGGGACGGGTGGGACATGGAACCAAGATGCCGTTTCGGACCATGGCTTCACGAGGGGCGGCGACTTGACCGTGGTGAGACAAAAAAAAAACGGAGACGGCGATCGCTACAGTGCCCTAGGGCAAAATTTGTTTCGGAATTTTGTAGATGGTTATTATACGAGAGCAATTGATAAATATACGATTTACTGGCTGTATTAGATGACTTATTATTTTAGGATGAATTGTAAGACGAGCGTGATAAAAAAATTATTTGATTATTTATAAATCATGTTTTTTTAAATAAATTAAAGAATTAAAAAATATCGTGATCAAATGTTATTAAGATATTCGGATCTAATTTATCTCATAATATATAAATAAAGAGAACTTTTATATTTTCTCTTATGATGCTTAATTTAAACAAGTAAAACACTTATGTTTTATTTCAATGTATATAATATTTTTTTATCGGAATACATCAAAATTCATGTAAATGCTATGAAAGTCAAAGACACGAATTCGAATCAAAATTCAAACATCATATGTGAAGCTATACCCCTTGAATCTCTCGTCACCGTCGACCATCCCCTTAAGACAAGAAACGATGGGATCTATACAACTTCACTTGTTCCACAAACTCCAACTACTATTTTTGGCTGAAACTGACTCCAATCAGTCAACTACCATCCATGAGCGGATACCATCGAGTTATCGGCCAACAAGGTTCGATGTAATTGAAAGGGAGCTCGTCCACTCTTTCTGGTCAGTAGATCCAAGTGAGTTTAAATTTTGCTAGAAGTTGTTGATTGCAATTAATGCTTAATCACTTGTTGAGTTTCTCATGAATTTCAACTGCCTAACGCTTGAGAGGAAGCTATAAATGGCCAGAATCAAACTTAAATAATTTATGTTGATGATGCATCACGTGAAAATGGGGTAGCAAGAGGTAAAATTTTAAAATCTTCATAAGAATTATTATCACAAGTATCCCTAATAGAATTTCAAGTCACTAATAAATAATCTAAGTACATTTCTCTCATTGCAAAGCTAAAATGTATTCTAAACTAGAACCAGACAACCATTCTTTATTTTGAATTCATAGTTGACAACAAGTAAATTAAACGGTGAGTATAAAGTGCAAAATGAGATGTTGCATATATACTTTTTTTAGAGAAAAGACTAAGATTAGTTAGTTTTAATGCTTCAAAATAACGCAAATTTTTAAAGAGAATAATCAACTTGCTAACTAATTATTGAAGTTGGGTAACCCCGGTGGGCTATCATACCTAAAGGTTTCATGGCCCATCATTGAGGAAAGAAAGTAAGAAAGGTAAAGGAGGAGCACTATATGAGTTGGTGGATCCTATAATAAAAAAAAGGTAACTACTTAGGTCATAGACCCATGTGATTCAAAATCAAAGCTGCTTAGCACATCATAATTGTTGGTAAGTTGTTTTGAAGATCATTAATCTCTATCAACCAAAGAGGCTTAAAGGAAAGTAAAATAGAGGTGTTCAAGGCAATACACTTTAACGAGTGTGAGTCACTTAGGAGGAATAATACTTGCTCATGAAATTCTTTGATAAAGTTATTTATGGCTGACCCTTCAAAAGTAATCAAAAGAATTCTTAGATATGTTTGTACACTACGAAAAGTGTTGCGACTGAGAATATACGCGATGGTATAGTAAGAGAATAAAACAACTTAATAATGTACGTATATCTGACACACCAATAGATAGTCAAAAGAGAGAAAAATACAAGAAGTTTTTTTACGTGAAAAAACCGAAAAGGGAAAACCACGGGGCTTGGCCTGGACGAGAAAATTCTATTAAGTTTGAATGAATTATAAAACTTGATTAGCTCCTTTATTTGGAGACTATGAAATTATAATAATTTAGAGAGTAGGACAGAAGTCGGGTGATTGTTAACTAAACAAAGTTCGGCAGCAGTAAGAAAAAACTTTGGCAACCATCAACGAAAGGTCAGAAGTCTAGCAATGGTCGATGAACAGGCAGAAGTCCGGTAATGGTCGACGAATGGGCGGAAGTTCGACAGTGGTCGAGAAGAACTAATGCGGTGGTCGGTGGAAAGAGAGCTCCCCAAACTGTCACCTTCTTTTACCCTTCCCTCATGTGAAGAATGTGGGTCTATTTATAGTTTTTTTAGAGTGACATGCCCCGTAAATATAGAGAAGGTTGAGAGGCATGTTGGGTTTATTTAAATAGAAGTCTCATATTAATCTCGTTGATTGTATAGTGTTGATTGAACATTTAAGTGCCTTAATAATGTCAAACTTTGATGATTTAGATCTCATTGGATTCATCTTGCTGAGCCACTTAACTTGACTATAAACAAGTCACATTTGGATATTATTTGATCATCCAATTTATGTTTAAACATTCTAAATATGCTTTATGCTATTTTTTGGACCCATTTGGGCTCTGATTGAATTGAATTTCATGTCATTGAGATGTTCAGTATGAATATAAATTTATTGAAATTGATATGGTCCAAAAATTAAATTTTTAAAGCCTCAACCTCATATTTACATTAAGATTCATGCCGATAAGATAAATTTTTGATGATGTATCAAAAAGTTTTCTCATATACAACAATAACCTTCATACAAGCTACCACGTATCTCTATCTCTTATCATTTGTTATCTAGGGAATAAATCTCATCAGTTTATGTCTTCCCTCCAGCATTAAATAAAAATTCATCATAATCATGGTTGACTATTTCTACAATGGAATAGAAGCTAAGGCACTTGCTAAGATGATTGTCAAGGTTGTCTGAAATATTATAAAGTTAAATATCATATATATGTAGATTAACTCTTACTATATTAAAATATAATAAACCATATATCTACAATAAGAAAATCAAATACTTAACTCGCTCACAAGTTATTCACCTCAAGTTCTTATATGGATGCCACCCTCAAAATAGCGTGCAAGTTGAGGCCAATAAGATTTTTTAAAATTTTATTTGTGAGGCAATGATATGCGGCTCCAACATTCTTGACTCCAAACGGCATGATCATATAGCAGCACAATTATTTATCTATTCAAAAAGTCTTTGCCTCTTCACCCACAAGATTCAACTTTATTTAATTATATCTGGAGTAGGCATCTATTAAGCTTAACAGTTGATGTCCATACATAGTATCGACCAATTGGTCAATACGTGGAGCTGAAAACTATCATTCAGATAAGATTTGTTGAGATCTATATAGTCCAGACACATCCTCCAAGCTCCATAATCTTTTCGTACCATAATGACATTTGTCAGTCATGTGGGGTAGTGCACTTCTCATATAAACCCTAATTCTAAGAGTTTATCAACCTCCTATTTGATTGCTTGCTAGCGATCCAGTATAAAATTATATTTCTTTTAAATGAATGGCTTGCACATTTGGTTTTACTTTTAGAGAGTTTACAATTGCTTCAAGGTCGATAATAAGCATGTCAGTTGAACTCCATCGAAATATATCCTGAATACGTAGAAAATATATGAACTTTTTTTTTCTTTGTTTGAGAGCAATGATACAATTGTTGACCTCAATTTTCGTTCGAGTGCATTCGATTGATTCGATTGAACCTCGTCGAGCCCAATTTGAACTCGAATCGATCTAAATTAGGTCAAATTAGGCTTGACCATGTTCAATCAAGCCTGAGTAATTTATTTTGACTGTGACAAATTTGGTTTTACCCACATCATCTTTAATTTGATTTAATCAAATCGATCGAACCTAGCCCGATTCTAAATCAAGCCAATTTGAATCAAATTCATATCCAAACCTAACTCAAATCAGCCCAAATTAATTTAAAATAAATTCCAAATTGCTTTTTATTAAATTTGAATGTAATAGCAGATCAGGAAATGCAATTAACGGGTTTGATTTGATCAAATTCCCAAAACCTGTGATGGTCTGACCTCTCAGTCGCATGAGCCCTCGAATAAGAAGTGGATTCGAATGACTTTAGGTAGAAGCAGAATGTCGCAGTGCCGTTTTGGTGTTTTTGAGCTGAGCTGAATGTCGGGAGACATTTAGAAGGTGTGGACGAAGCCTTGGACTCCTGGATTGGCACCCGCTCCCTCTCTCTGGATTTCTCCTGTTTGCAGACGCCTAAAACTCCCTTTCCTGCTCCGTTCTCTTTGGTTCACAGAAGCAAGAAGGGGCCGAAGGAGCTTCCCTCCTCTCTCATTCTTCATTGTTGTTCGCAAATCCCAACTGAGCCCCCTCACCGTCTCCCTGATTTGCACACCTCAGAGGCCGAACCCGACCACGACCTTCACCGCTTTTGACTCCGCCTGGGTCTAGGTCGACGCCGCCGATTAGCTCTAGTTGTTGCCTCTTTCTTCTTGCTTGCAATGTAAGTATCTCCCCCACCTTCCTTCCCCTTCTTCTTCTTCTTCATCTCCCTCTCCTTCTTCCATTTGTTCCTCTCCTTCCCCATCTTCTTTTTATTCTTCTTCTTCATCTTCTTCTACCTCCTCTTGTTCTTCTTCTTCTTCCTATCTTTCTATTTTCTTCATCTTCTTCTTTTGTACCTCATCTTCCTCCCACTTCTCCCACAATGTCATCCTCTAAAAAAAAATCATAGATTGGTTATAAAAATAATAAGCTATTTTGAAATAAAAATATATAATGCAAGTTTCATTTTGATATTCTGCTCTAGAGTGAAGCAATGATGATCCCTAGTTTTCTTTTGTGGTCAGTGAAAGGCTATTTTATGTTCATACTCAGATTTATTCCTCAAATGCTACATAAGGATTTAGTCATGTTCATGCTTGGAAGAGTTTAAGTTTACAAATATGTTTCAATGTTATTTGCATACTTGAAAATAACGGCTTATACACTTTTGTTAAGGTTTATGTCATGGTTATCTTAAAGTCGACTTTTGTTTTGTTATAAGATATGGAATATGTGTTATTGATGCCAAAGCTTTGGTTTCATATTCTTCTTTGCCTAAGTTTTTTAGGTTAACTATTTGATGCAATGCCTCAAAGGAACTTTTCTCGTGTTGAAGCTTTGTTTTAAGAGAGTTTGAGTGGTTGAGTTTATCTTGATTGTGATGA